CTTACGAAGATGCATAACTCAACCGCTTGTGGAAGACGCCGTTAACCTCCATTTGTTAGTGGAAGGAAAGAACTCCTTGAAGGAATCACACTGAAGGTCGGACCAAAGTTGTGCTTCCTTTCGCATACACTGATTGAGTGACGTGATCTCACCTGAGCGGCTCTGATTCGTAACAAAGAGGAATGGAATTATCTAGTGCCTAAGTACAGATCTTCAACGATTACAAGAAGTACAGGTAATCTATGTAAATCAAAGAAAAATAAACAAGGACTTATAATCTAGCAAATTAACCATAAATGCACAAATGACCCAGAAACAAAGGAAGTGCGGTCTTTAGTATTCGTAGCACTCATATGTCAGACAAATTCTTGAAGGAGAAAACTGTAAAGAAAAGACGCATAGGGCATACTGCAACTTCTAGTGATGATCTTCGAAACTAACACTTCAAATATTGATTGCAACCTCTTAAAAACTAAAAGTGCAATTAAATAGGACCAATAAAAGCCTAAATATCCGCTTTTACACTACGATACAGTCCATGGTCTTTAGAATATGAAGATCATACCTCCAAAGTGTCAATAGTAACCCTTGTGAACCGGTAACAAAATGAAATTAGATCTAATCAATGGTAAACATTGACCTAGCGCATTTAAAGTACTCCGTCATGATCAATAAGCGATAAGAAGTAGGATACCATGATTATATGGCTCAAGTTTCGGATGAGCGCCTTTCATTTTCACTACGATAACGTCACAAGGCAAACTGGGAAAGGGATTGATATTCCGAACATAGCATAAAAGGAAGTTACAGCGCAGTGGTTACAGGCGCCCTGCAATAGATCCCACACTCCAGACTCACCAATTCTTCCACTTCTGTGGGTCGGAAAATTAGTAGGAGATTTGTCTGGGAGGATAGCAGCTAACACATCGGTAAGTCACCATGAGTCAGATCTATGGATCAGATATGCATTCAATTAGCTTTAACAATGCTTACGGAAGCTGAGTGCATAGCACATCGCTCAGGGATTGATCAACGCCGAGAGTTTTATCCTTTATTATTGATTAATTGGCACTTATTTCTTATATAGGTGTACTGTAAAACAAGGACAATGTCAGGAGACGTAAAAATTTCTGAAAGTTCAAATAAAACGAACGGAAAACTTATAACAGTATCCAATGGAGCGATAAGTAGCACAACACGCTTATTATACAAATGTATCCCTTGCTTCAGCTAAATTTAAATTCGGAGCATCGCAGTTATTTTCTATAACAGTGAAGGTGAAACCCTTTATGCGACTATTCTTTCAGGCATATGCCAGAATAAATATGAAGAAAAAGAAAAGTACAACCCATTTGACGTCTTTTTAATCAATTGTTCCATCAAACGCTGTTTGGCTTCTTCTAGTTCAGTGATCTGGAAAACTGAAATAAAACAGAAGAGTGGAGGAGCTCATAAAATTGATGAAGAAGCTATCTGAGTAAGTTACTCACCTGCTCGATATTCGCATATTCATAGATACAGATTAAAGACAGTCTCCTAAATAGCCACGTAGAAGTCTCCCATTAGTCGTTGATACAGTTTATCTTTCTTCACGTTTATTGCTGCGCTGCCATTCTTCTTCTTATAGAGGATTAGCGCGCAATTCTCTCCTGCACTTTTTGCCAGTTGAGTTTGTTTCCATTAAAAATTCGGAGTAGTTATGGGCGCTTATGAAAACCGATCCATGAATTTCATCAAAACTGACCTGCATGAAAACTTCGTTCACCTCGTCCACCAATAGTTTGTTCTTAGAAAAACGCGTTCTCCAAGCTAGAAAAATGTTACGTGCAAATGCAGTCAAATGAGGGTAGTCGTGTTAATAGCGAATATCTAAACAATTTTGATTTCCACGCAATTTCAAAAAAAAACTATTCCTCCATATTCTTGTTGAGCAAACGCGAGGTGTTATTTTTATTCTTTATTCACGAATAAGCTGACGTTTCGGCGGATTTCGCCTTCCTCAGAGCCTGGAAAGGCAATCTCGGCCAAACAGCTCCATAAACAAAACAGAGAAAGCGCTAAACCAAGATTTCAATCACATTGAACACAGAATAGCTTCTTTGCACACTCGCCGCATTCTATAAGTCTTCCACCGAGTATATCGCGTGGAGACCAACCATACAAAATTCACATGGAAGCGTAATGTGCCCCTCCCATCAGAATAACAGGCTTGTATACTGCCCAATATCACGCGTGATAATGAGGCATTCTTCCCTGCAGTTCATTTTCGCACTTCTGGAAATAATCCAGAGCACCTCGCGAGTTTTGCGCGCTTGTGTTCTCGATACCTGTGCGAGGATCGTGACACGTACTTCAATGTCCTCCCCGTTATGTCTCTGGGTCCTATGTGTACCTGGTGAGGCATTTAGGTTACGTTTGCCGACTAGGTGTTCTTTTATACGCACGCAGAGTGGTCAACCCGTTTTGCGAATGTATTCGCCTCTGCATGCCTTACAGGAGATCAGATAAACTATACCCAAACTCATGCAATCACCGTCTCTATCACTAGAGCAAATTATGCAATTTTGAGTCGCACATAGACGGTCATATAGGCGGTTACGAACTAGCTGGCGCCTAAGAGTATTCGGTGGCATTTCAACTACGTTTACCGAATTCTCCAGACCCGCACTTTATAGCTGCACTTACATCACTTGAGACGAGGAGTGGGATAAACAGGACCTTTTTATAGGTAGAGTTGTCGTTGGGGGGCCTCGGATTTCCCTACACCTATCCCTACCTGCAGTTTCGTAGCCGTTAAAAATAGTTATTTGACGCCCCAAGTTCCGCGACTCCTCTCTCTGCTCTCTTCCCATGCACACGTTGGTTGCTGTTCGAAACATGTTGCGTACAAGCGCCCTTTTCGTCTGAGAGGGGCGAGAGAAGAGGTAATCAACCAAAATGTTTTGTTTTTACTACTTGGCTTTCGGTACCACTTCGTAATGTAGCCATTTTCTGATAGGTTAATTTGGATGTTCAGGAATGGAAGCCAGTTTTCTTTCGGTTTCTCTCGGGTGAACTTGATATACTCGGACTATTTATTCAACAACTCGAAACACTTGTCCATTTCCTCTTGTGTCGAGTAAAGGACAAAACAGTCATCTATATATCTACAGTATAGTAACGGCTCGAGATTGGTTACTACTGTTTCCACCTTACACATAAACGCAATGGTAAAACTCGGTTCCAGTCGTTGTCCCATTGCCAATGCTCTTATTTGATAGATGAGAGACAAGCGAAACGAAGGACCCGCATGGTGTGGTGGTGAACGCGTTACTCCTCGGAAAGGACAATAGCGCGTTCGTTCCCCACCATAGACACCTGTGGTCCAGAGTTTTGCAAATATCTCAGCAACGTTGTGGTTGTATTTCGTTTAGTAACCTGCCATAAAAATTATAGAAGGCAGAAAAAACGTAAAAACAATAATCACAGTTTGGATGGTTTGAGGATAAATCTAAAGTGTTAAATACAAATTATATTCTCATTCATTAAAACACTCACTTCATCTATCGCTCCTACAGGAGCACTGTGATACGAGCTCGTTGTTGTGTCGCTACAAGTTTGAAGGAATTAGATGATTTATTGCGATGTGCATCGACATCCAGAAATCCTTTACTGCCTCTGAAACTCAACAGAAGGACGACCCCAACAAAACTATAAATTTCTACCACGTGAGAAATATGAACACACATACACACACACACAAAACACTGCCGAAACGTTAGCTGCGGTTGTGTTGTGTGTGTGTTATTGTATGGAAGTAAACGGATGGTGTTTAACAACCTAGCGATTGCTGAGAAAGAAAGCGACAGATTTATAATTCAATGCCGAGGTTACTAGAAAGTCAATCTAGGAAAATGAACGCTTTCTTCTCTTATCCCTTAGTAGTCTCATCTTTACACTCCTCTCAAAGCAGAGTATACTTGATACTCGATGCTTGAATCTCGTCTTCACTAGTTCTGCGGCCCCCAGCATAATCACCATTTTTCGGATATTTGCTGCTTAAGTCATTGTGGTTCCTTGGAATCTCAAGGACGGCATGGCCAAAATTTGGTCCAGGTTTTCACAACCACAGGCAGTCGCAGCCCTTGTGGATCAGAGGGAGATTTGCCACCATGCGACTTTGATACCAAGACGGTGGTGGATCCTGGTATTGGTTTACTCTCAACTAGGCTTCTTGATGACAACGCCCCGGACTCCTCAGCTTGGGAGACCCTGCCGGTGGACGAATTCCCCGCTGTACATCGCAGTCCGACTCACAGGAACACATCCCAGCCACGATAAGGAGCGGTAAACCGTTTGCAGGCGACATTTATTACGAATTGTCGACAAGACATGCTCAGTTTTCTTGCGTCGCTTTTCTGGATCCATAGTGGTATGATGTGGAAACTCTTTCATAAAACGGAAATTTTCCCTCATCTCAGTAATAGCAGTAGGGAAACATGGCTCAGGAAGTGCATACATCACGTATGGCATAACGGGTAATCTCTACTTGCACTACCGCAACTGCTAAGATGGACATATTATAGTGCAAGAAAACTCATTATGCAAGGGCGTATGTAGGAGTCTACACGTTAAAACTCAAAGGAGGTGTGAATATACGTGTGACACTCAAACTCAAAACAAACACTTGTACTATGTTGCAAACTATGTCACCTTTAATATTATCATATTAATAAACGCCAACTGCATATTCTGAACATTCCAAATTTCGCATAATACAACAAAGATACTGACAGAGGTTACAGCAAAGGATTAGACGTGGTCACTTCTTTTTGACTGCGAAAATTATTATTGGAAGGAGCATGAATACAGGTAACTCTCGCGCCAAGGAGAACTCTCAACAGTGGGAGCAACACGTATGTGAAGATGTGAAGCATAAAGCTTTCTTCATACGTTTGATTGCATCAAAGAGAAGTCGAAAACAAATGAAGTAATGCATTCACATCATTAAATTCCGCCCCTTAATAGACTTTCATGTTGAAAATTGAAATAATGTAACTTACAATAACTGGTTGCTCCAGTTGTGTGCCCGTAAGGTTGTAATTCTTCTCAAAGTAATCTTCGAGAGTGGTGACTGAAGCATCCAGAAGTGTTGTAATGGTGTCTGGTGATACCCAACTGTCAATAGACGTAACTCGGTACATCTTACTATTATAGCTAAAAATAAGTACAACAAATAATGATTTGGCGTTTACGGTCACTTAAAGGCAACAAGACTAACCGTGCGCAAACGTCTGCTCCAATAAGCATTTCTTCCATTTTGGCTTGAAATCTTTTAGAATTACGTTCCATGCGTTCGCATTAACTCATCTGTATAGTACTACAGTCATAGTTGGTGTAATTTCACTAGTTTTCGTACTAATAAGAAGATCCTAAAAACTGGCCATATGCCACACTGACTGCGCACGAATAACCTTGAAGCGATTTTGAATGCATAGCACGAGCCCATCTTCGCACTCTTCATTGCGGCTTCAAATCCGGGCCACACTTCGATATTGTAGTCTCTGAGTTAGTTCTACCTTCTCCTGCTCACCATGGTGGTTTCTACGCAATCGCTTCACTCGAATCGTATTCACGCAAATAGAAATAGTCCTTTAGTTCTGCACCGATCTTTAAGTTATTGATATTGGATAAGGTCGTATGAAGCTGGCGAATACCAGTGTAGATATAACAGCACGCTCACACAAACACCATTGAACACAAAGAAATATCCAATATATTCTACCAAACATTGGAATACTTTTTTTTTATTAACGATATTGCAGCAAATGACTGCCTGTGGATGATTCTGACTGAAACAAGCTAATGAATGGAGAGGAATGTTGATCCTCTCGTCAGTCCTCGGATCATGAGCCGGGTACAATCCCTGAATAACCAAGCCGGTAATGGTTGAGTTACAGCAACTACACTGTGAGTAAACCTCGAGTTCGGTGCTAGTGGCTGTGTATAGAACCATATTATTGAAAACAAATGCATTGCTGAAATCTTCCTGAATGTGGCATCGCTCCAGTAGGCCATAACGAAAGGTCGTGGATTCGACAAGCGGATCAAATTCTACAAAGTGATCTTGTACCGTTAGATCATGTCGCTGTTCGAGTAGCAGAAAATTTGCTGCCAGCTGTGTCCGTCGACCACAGATTCCTAGAATTATGTAACTAATCCAACAACTTTCGAATTCTAAACAATGCGCTAAATCCTTAATAGTCACCAAGACACTACAAACCAATGATCTTAAGAACAATAAATCGGGAATTGTTATGAATTGTGCAAGATTGCAATTTTAAAGGATAAAGAACAGGCCGCTCAGTATTGATAAACCGCTTAGCGCAGCACCATTCATCTGATTTCCTCAAGCATCATAAAAGTTAGCGAGTGTAACTCTGGCCCATAACCGCGAGAGTTTACTGACGAATCGTAGGTGTTTCTATATTACCAAGATCTTCCCGGTACCGATCTGCAGACCGCAGAGAAATGTAGATTTTGACAAATCCGGGGCCAAGAATCGAGCCAAGCACCGATCTTTGTGTGCATTACAGAGTACTTCTAAACATTGCACAACACACACTTAAGAGTTTGCAATGTTTTGATGCAAATACGCTTCCTAATTTCAAAGAAGAAAATCGATTGACTTCTTGCGCATGGTGGCCGTTCAGGACCCTAGCACACAATAATGTTACTCTTCAGTGTGTTGAACACTCGTTAAGCACCCATCAAGGACCAGAAAACTGACTTCCCTCTGTCTTCGTCCCACGTCTTGTCACAACTTAATCTATCGCTTCCATTACGTCCTACTTTTAATGCAGCTGCACTTCTCCCCGGATTCCAACATTCTTTTATAACCCTCTCCATCTGCTTCGCTATCTTTTCATTTTTGTATTCACTAAGTTTTAATGGTTGAGGTTTGTTAAATTGTGATGACGGAGCAGAATTTTTTAAGAATAAAAGAATCACCACTAAACCACGAACAGACTTGCGAAGACAAGCAGGTTGTTATGGTGGAAGGATTTATCGCCTCATGGTGGCTGGCTGGTGTTCTTGGGTGTCGGGCTGCGTTTTATAACGGGGATTCAACCACCCAGAATCGTCTCCTAAACTGAAGAGTTTAGCGTTTCCATCTAAAATCTCTGCTAAGAGTGTACCAATACCAGGATCTACCACCGTCATCGTTCCAAGGCAGTCGCATTGTGGTAAATTCCCCTCTAATCCACAAGGGCGCCGACTGTTTAAGGGTGGCGACGACCTGGGGAGAATCTGACCAGGCTGACCTCGGGACTTCAGGGAAACACCATGTCTAGACCAGAAAAACTCCGAGGAATGACTATTATGCTGGGGCCGCGCAACCAGTGAGGACGTGCCGTTCAAGTTTCCAAGTAAGTGTTATCCACGTACGCAAATCAAGAGTTAGAATGGTAGCAAAAGTGCTAAGTCTTCTGTAAGTGAAATCCGAATGTTTTCGCAAAACTATTAGTTCTGTACTATTAAAACGCCACAAGAAAATGTGCAGTGCATTTCCCTATGAACAATGTGGCTCCTTCTATCTTGGTGGCTAAATGGAAAAGGTTTACCAGTTTTATCGAAGTCGTCAGATGAACATAAGATCTGAGAACGTCGGCTGGTTCGGAGGCTCTCCATCAAACATTACTGTGCCGTGCTTGCTGTAATAAATGGTTGAGAATAAGATTCCAAATGTCACGACGAACACACCTGCTTTCCCCTGATTCAGCGAATGACGGTCGTTTCGCTAAAGGGAAATAACCACAAGTAAACTCATTACAGTTGTAAGCTTGTAGATTAATCGTTTGACTTACGTGACTCATGACTGGGTAGAGCTCTGATTTGAGAGTTGAAGTGATTGACACCTAAGGCATTCATTGACATGTAAAGCGGTAGGCGTTCAAAAGAAGCCGTTTATCATGCGAGTGCATGTGCTAGGTCTTATCTGCTAAGGTTTTGAAAGAGTTTGGATGAGTAGACCGCATGAAAATTTGACCTTTCCAGGCTCTGAAAAAGGCGAAATCGTCGAAATGTCAGCTATTCTGTACTAATAAATTCTGCAATACCAACCTCGTGCTCGTTCATCAAGAACGGTGAATTATTGATCAATGCCGGGGTTAAAAAAAATCGGTCTTGGGATTTAAAACGAAAAGAACTAGGAAGAAACAAATAGCGCGGATAACGGCGAGAATCCGGAGCGGTGGAGATGAAGGACGCACAAGGGCGTCGGGTCTTCAGCGAATGGCACGCCGCTGGAGAGACGCTTCTAGAATTTCGCAGGCGCAGTAGGTTGACTTGAAATTGACAGGTTAACGCGCGAAATTCAAATGTGCCGGCGAAGCCTGACACACTTCTATCGCTGCGTCCGAGAAAGGCGGATATAGATCGGCTCGATGTACATCCGTGCGTGGTCTCCACTCCACAAGCCTTCGGGGATGAGGTGCGTTCTAGGACGGGAACCCGTAACGTCGGGCACAACGTGCACGAATGCTGGGACGAGTTGCTCATAAATTTATCATAGTCACCCACTTGTTCGTGAAAACGAAGTTGATTAGGCGATATTCCCAACTAACATTGTGCATGTACTCGGCGACTTTGTCTTTGGTGTAAAGACAAAACGTTCGAAAGGGAGTTGAAAGCAGATCAACGAAAATTTCACTTCGTGCCTTGAAATGCAAAAGCTTTTGGTAAGAAGTGCAGAAGATTTTGGTCCCCATCGGGTTATTGTGGATTGTATAGGCTGACTAAGGCTCTATCAGTAGTTTACACTACTTGCTCACTATTCATTGGCACATAACGAAAAGTACATTTATTTTACAACTGCCGACAACTCTGGGAGAATCATGTTAGACAGGTCTACAACGTGATAAACTTGGAGGACGGGCTTTGCTTTATTGAGTTTAGAGTGCACAATATTTTTGAGGAGCGTCTCATTGTTTTTAAAAGGGATTAAAACTACAATGCCAAAGAAAAATTGAAGAGAAAATTTGAATTCCTGGCATCTCCAGCGCAGCCCCAGGCCCTAACGTTAGCCTAAGGACACCACTGGAGTTTTGCTAGTGAAACCTTCTAACGACACCCCTGCAATCATTTACAAATCGAGTTCAATTCTTCAAATTTTCCATCGTTTGCTATTTAGAGAACAACCTTCTACTACTGGCGATTCCTCATCAATACAGAAAGTGTGGAGGTTCTTTCGGCTGGAAGCAGTCACATTTATGCCCGAGTTGTCGTAAGATTAGTTCAGTTGCTTTTCGATGGTTTTACCAGATTTCCTTTTAATGTCCTCACAGAGTAATTTAAAAAACTACAGTGACAACATAGAATCGAAAAAGAATCGCTTGAGCACGTATCCTTTCTTTGTGCCGTTATATCCTCAGCGTTGCATATGTAGAATAACCGTTATTAGCACAGCTCCGATGCCGGGGTTCGCTAACACAACAACGGCAGCCACGTCTAAAACGGGCAAATTCATTGGAGAGATGTGTTGACGTAAACGGAAACGATCACGGATCACTAAAGTTTGCGATTGTTGGCATCAAAGTTCAAAAAGAAGCCAGTGTGGAGCAAATCTTACCTTAGCTGTTCGTTTCAACAAAAGCTAATGGTGAACACTTTGCACGGGTTAAATCGCTTAAAACGGAATTATTCCGGAGGTGTTTGAATCGATCTGTGTGGGGTGACTGGCTGTCAACCCAATATTCCCATACAGCTGCTGCTAAGGTCTAACAGAAAGTGTCATAGATGCATGAGCATGAACAGTGAATCCACTAGAAGAGAACGCTATATTGCATTGTTTAATAATAAGTAGTCCAGAATCGTAACGCTAGTTATCTCACCGTTCACACTTAAAGAAGTGTTCATGTCACCGTATCTCCATTCTGCTTAACATATCCTTCCTTCTGATTATATCCCATGTAGAGTATAGACACCGCAGCAATATATTTGTAACACTGCCTCAAAGCCGTACTGAACAATCGGATCTATAAGCGACGTCAAGCCGCAGCACAGTGAAAGTTGATCTAACTCAACGAGAGATGTGGAGTTTGCTAATCCAAGGGTTATTTGGTGCGTCACCAAAAGACGTTGAATGGAAGGTTAAACGCGTATCAAGGAACTTATGAAGTTAGTTGGGAAACTTCTAACATCATTCTTCTATGATATTCATTTTAATTGTTAAACAAATCATGGATAACTATGTGTTCATCGAATAAGTATCAGAGTTCACAGATAGGAAGAAATGGGAAATGCGACCCATCTTAGATGCATCGACGGTTAACAGATAAAAAGCCTTACCA